AATGGGGTACGAGCCCCCGATGGGGAGGACTGGGCTGGCTCTGCGGGCTTCTGGGGGTGGAAGCTCTCCTGCAGCCCCCCAATTGCCTCCTCTCCCCAGATGGCAGCCTGTGGCAAGTGCAGCCGGGCTGATGGTCGAGTGCTGTGATGTGCCCAGTGTGGGTACTCCGGGCACTCCAAGCCAGGACTGCTTTGCAAGCGGGGAACCCCTGAGAACTGTCTGTCCGGGGTGGGGGTCGGGTCCCTTTAAGCACAGCCCTCGGCTAGCCTGAGACAGCAGCTCCACGCTCTAAATCCTCCTCTGATGCCCTGCCAGCACTGCTTCCGGCCATCCTTAAGCTTGGTTCAGGGTCCACTTAATGTGGACATGCTAGTTCGAATTAGCAAAATGCTAATTCAAACTAGTTTTTAGTTCTAGATGCGTTAGTTCGAATTAGCGCTATAGTGTAGACATACCCTCTCTCATGTCCTGGCGACAGCAGAGAACACCTTGGCCCTGGAAGCAGGACACAGGGCTGGCTGATGGGCTGTGGCTGTAAGTGGAGATTGCCTATCTCCTAGAGCTGAAAGGGACCTTGAAAGGTCATCGAGTCCAGTCCCCTGCCTTCACAGCAGGACCAAGTACCATCCCTGACAAATTTTTGCCCCAATTGGCCCCTGCAAGGATTGAACTCACAACCCTGGGCTTAGCAGGCCAATGTTCAAACCACTGAGCAAGTTAGTTTTTGGCTGGCTCAGGAAGAAGGGAGCCTGCCTGGCCTGAGGGGCCAGGGCACCCCAAGATGGATTGTGCTGACTGCTCCTGGTGCCTGTAACAAAAAATCTGAACTACGCGGTGTCCCTGACAACCAATAAACCTTCTGTTCTACCTGAGAGTCCCGTCTGGCTGGGGAGGGGGGTGCAGGGCCCAGTGAGTCCCCCACCCTCCGTGACACTGTTCATTTTAAAATGGGGGAGTTGCTCTCAGAGGCAGCGCGCTGGATGCTGACTCGTGGCTCAGCGGTCACCGTCAGCAACGACAAACGTCTCGTGCCTCCTCGAGACCGTGTGAGCTCTGCACCGTCTCCTCTCGCTCGTGTGCCTCCAGATCTCGAAATCCAATGCCAGCGACAGCCCTTTCCCTCGAGCCCAGGGAATCCCACTCCTTCCCCCCACTGCGCCAGTGCCCGACCGGTGTCGCCAGCAGCCCCCATGCAATGATTGCCAGCTCAAGTCACGGTTTATCCAACAGCCGGCTTGCAACCCAGCCTCACAAAATCAATGTTTATTTATGAAAATATGTTTCGGCTTCACAGTAAACAAACTCCACAGTTTGGGTTTCACACAGACGCTACTACAGAGTGCACGTCGTACAACACTGCCGCCGTCAGCTGGACCATGAATTGAACATCACAAGCTGTCGGGACATCACATGGTGATAATATAGTTTTTTTCTGAACGGACCATATTGCGCAGATGTAGAATCGCTTTGTCCAGGGCTAAAAGCTTAAAGTCCGACTATTGCCTGGAAGGCCAGAATGGAACCATCATGATCATCTAATCTGGCCTCTTACCCATTTCAGCCCACAGATCCTCACCCACCCACTCCTATAGCCTCTGGCTGAATTCAGGCCCACCGATGGGAGGGTGTGGGGAAAGGGGACCAGTGCCTGGGGGCCTGCCAATTCTATAGGGCATGGGGCTCCAGGCAGCATGCAGAACCCTGGGTCCTGGGCCCATTAAATCGCCGCCGGAGCCCAGTGCCACATGCTCTTAGTGGCTGTAAGGGCTGGTGGGGGTTGACATGACTGAAGGTGGCGCTAAGGGCTGGCTGCCCTTCCACTCAATGCCCTGCCCCTTCCAGGAGCATGGAGCTGGTCCCCCAGGGGCCTGGCGTGTCTGTCGGCTCCCCTGGCTGAGTTACTGACGTCTCCCAATCTTGATTTGAAGACTTAAACTTGCACAGAATGCACCATTTCCTGCCGTTCAAACCAGCAAGTCTCCTGTGCCCCATGCTGCAGAGGAAGGGAAAAACCCCATTGTCTTGGGGGAAGTCAGGGGAGCTGAGTGTGATCTTTTACCTCTCTCCCGCGGTGGCTCAGATTTATTTCCCCCCTTCTCCAGGGCATCATGAAGCTCAAGCTAGAGGTTTTGCTGTGACTCAGCCATGGGCGGGCAAACCATTTCAGAGCATTAAAACGCTGTGGATTTTATGAAGGCGATAAATCTTTGACTCTGGGGCTGTGATACTATAGAGTGTCTGGGGTAAGGAAATTATGAGCATCATATTAAAAGATTTGAGTCTGTATGTCTCTCTCTGACAACAAGAAGAGTGAATCTCGCAGAATAGGTCCATGCATACCTGCCCAGAAGGGGGCCCTTTAAATTGTCACTGGAGCCCCACACAGCGTGGTTCTGTGGGCTGAATGCCCCTGTCCCCGCCCCTTCTGTCCAAGGCCCCACCCCTTCTAGGAGCATGGAACCGTGCCCCCTTCCCCCACCTTGCCCAGGGGCCCAGTGAAGCTACCAGCTCCCCTGGGTCCATGAAGCCTGTTATGGTTATAAAATTCAGCAAGATTATTCTAGCTAAGAGGCAACTGGGCTTTTGCAGCTCAGGGCCTCACGGGGTACATCTCCACAGCAGAGTTATTTCGGAACAACATCCACTATTCCAAAATAACGTTATGTGCCGCCTACAGAAGACGGTTATTTCAAAATAAATTAGAAATAACGGGCTTCTTACTCCCACTCCCTGTAAACCTTGTTATACAAGGATTACGCAAGTCAGCAGAATAGCGATTTATTTCTACATAATTGCTGTGTAGACAGCGCCAAATTTTGAAATAAGCTATGCAATTTGTGTAGCTCAAATTGCGTAGCTTATTTCGAGGGCTGCGCTATTGTGTAGATGCACCCATGGGGGAGTTCGCCAAGAACTAAATCCAACCTTGACTAAATGTAGCAGATGCCACTTCTGCACAGGAATGGGACCTGTTGGTATGGCATGGTAGGACCTCCAATGCCTCAACGTGAGCCAAATCGCTGTTCTTGTAAACTCCACTCCAATTCATCCGATGAAGTGGGCTTTACCCAAGAAGGCTTATGCCTTGATAAATCTGTTAGGGTATGTCTACACTACCCCGCTAGTTCAAACTAGCAGGGGTAATATAGTCATCCGCAGTTGCAAATGAAGACCGGGATTTGAATATCCCGGGCTT